CCCGCCATCTACTCAGTACTGGTGAGGCCGCATTTGAGTGCTGTGCCCACAACTGGGCTCCCCAATACAAGAGAGAGATGAACATACTAGGGCGAGTGCAGCAAAGGGTCACAAAAACGGTTAAGGGATAGGATAGCCTGACACATGACATGTTGAGAGAGCTGGAATTGTTCAGCCTGAAGGGGAGAAGGGTCGGGGGGATCTCAGTATGTATAAATACCTGATGGGAAGGTGTAGAGAAGGTGGAGCCAGACTCTTCTCAGTGGTATCCAGTGAAAGCACAAGAGGCAAGGGGCACAAGTTGAAATACCGGACTTTCCATTTAAACAAAAAAAGCTTTTTTTTTTTAACTGAGGGTGGTCAAACACTGGAACAGGTTGCAGAGAGGTTATGGAGTCTCCATCCTTGGAGATACTCAAAACCCAGCTAGACATAGCCCCGAGTACCCTACTCTAGCTGACCTTGCTTTGAGCAGCGGGGTTACACTAGGCCATCTCTAGATGTTCCTTCCAACCTCAGTTATTTTGCAACTCTGGGAAGACTCAGATGTGAAACAGAGCACTAGCAGCTCATAGTACCAACTTGGCAAGAGCTGATGAAGCAGCACAATCCAGCTTTGCAGCAGAGACTGCTGACATAAGATCACCTTTAAGTGAAGCATTTAGTCTGGTCCTTCAAGGCAGGCCATAAAGCACTTCTTGCTTTCAGTAAAAACTATGTACACTCAGCACCTATAGAAGATCTGAACAAGTGGGACTGGAAGAGGTATGGACTCGCCAATAGCCAAGTCTAGCTTCTCCACACCACTGAAGGTAGGCTAAGAGCAGAGTGGGTCCACAGAACGCTTAAAGACAGAACACCCAAAGTTTGCCTAAACGCAGTTTGCACTTTCCAGCATGACACCCAGATGAGCGTTTGCCTACAACACCGCTGCCCTGCAGCCCTTTGAACGTTAAGAGCTGCTCGCTCCACCAGTAGAGGCTTACCTGTGCCTAACCATGCTGCGCAGGAATCGACTCACTGCTGACTTGTATACACGAGGCATCCATTGCCCCAGTGGATGGCTGCGTATTTTCAGGGTAATCACCTGGATGTTGAGGAGATCTGCCAGCTGTATAAAGGACTTCTTGTCTGCAGTAGGGGAAAGCACTACACATCAGTCTGCTGCCGTTGAAGAAGACAGTGTCTGGCAAATGCAAACCTATATGCACACGAGTTGCAGCAATCTGGACTCGGTATCTGTTCACAGCAGCAGGCAACGCACGTGCCCAAAGCGGTATGTACCACAGAACAGGCTGAACTCAGTACTCAAGCAGCTCCTCTGCCCGACTCCTGGGGGACTGGCTCAAGCCACAGGCCGACAACCAACACAAACCTTTAATGATCAGGATGGGCACGATCTAGCATGAGGAGACTGACCCATCTCTCCCGATATCCTGTCTCCAGCAGGAGCAGAGCGAGAGGCTCCAGAGGACTGTGTGGGAAGCCACATTGCTTGGAGGAATCTGATAACAAGGGAGGCTTTCCTTGTCCTGTGCTGAGAACAGGAGGTCCCATTGTCCATGGAGAGCTTGGCCTGATGTCAAATGGCCATGAAGAGCCACCCACAGCGTACATGACACGGGCTACAGCACAGGCAGAAAGAACAACCTTTCAGGACTTAAGCAATCTGGAGGGAAGCGGGAAGAGGGGCCTGGAGTCCCTCTGGGTCCATTACAGACCACGAGTGCCAATGCCAAAACCCTTGAAGCATCAGGCTCCTGACCCCGAGCTCCTCCCCAATCCCTTGAGCATAGCAGTGCCCCACTGCTCACCTACGAAACCCTTCTGCTCATCATCCGAGATGCGTAGCAGCAGCTCTCGGTGGGAGTTGCTGATATCAGGAGCCACCAGCTTGACAAGCTGCTTCCACCGGGCTTCTCTAACCACAAACTGTGCGCCCTCCTCTTCCTTCAGGAGGTTGAAGGCCTCTATCATCTTGCGGTGCTTCATGTAAGCAAGCTTACGGATCTCATTCTAGAGAGAGTATCAGGATTCAGACAGCTTCAGTTACCCTTCCCCCTCCTTTGTTTTTTTTAAATCTTGTTTTCATGGCACAGAGATGCAAGAAGAGACTCAGAAGAACACATCTGGAGTGATATTAGACACAAAGTACAGCACACTCAATGGGGTGATGAGAAATGCTATTTAACAGCCAACCGTGGGCCCTCCGCACAGCACTCTGGAAGGATCACTAGATTGCTTGCTGCTGGGAGAGGCACTGAAAAACCAGAAGAGACAAACGATAGTGTCTAACAGGAAGGAGATGGGGGGGCTACCTTTCAAAGATCACAGGATCTGCAGGCCCACAGGTCACAGAGCAAAGAGGATACATCCACACATGCTTCCCGTCCGTAAGTGAATGCTGCTGAGATCAGGGGTGGAGGTCCTTTTCCACACATGATTACAAGCAGGCTAGAGAACCTTATACGCTTGGGAGACCAACCTCTGGGAAGACCTAGTAGACTGCTTACTGAGAGAGAGCCAGTCCCCTCATGGGAGCACCCAGCAATCTCCAGCTCTCACCCTTTGATCACAAGTACTGAACTGCACCTACTCAGTTTGAGTGGAAGAAGCCAGAGTTCCAATTTACTTAGACCTCCCTTTGCATTTCCTTTGCTTTAAGAGCACGTGCAGCGGCAGCGAAAGTGTGCTGTGTATTTATAGCCAACTAAAACCAGTCTCCTGCATAGAGACAGTGTTTTTGAGCTAGGACTAAGACTAACAGTGATAATGCAGAGACACGTGCCTCCTATCTGTTGCAACTTCTTGGGCCCACAGCAGCATAGAATATTTCTTTGCTAAATGCTAAAAGCAGAACTCACAACAATCCCCATGATATGAAAGGTGGGCCTGTGCTTGTTGCTTGCGGAGCATCAGCAGAGGCCAAAAGCTGTGCCCCCTTCTCCACATTTTCCAGAAGCAGAAGCTTTTCCAGGGAAGGGCAGATATTTCCTTACAAGGTTATATAGAACAGGAGGCAGTCACTGATCACAATTCAACCCTCCAAACATTACCTTCAGGTGTTTTTTGTAGTTGTTGTACACAACAGCCAGGAAGAGCGACATGAAGATGTAAGTGTTGATGATGACAAAGGCAATGAAGAACAGGGCATACCACGAGCTGAAGTCAAATGCCGGCATCCTAGAGAAGGGGAGAGATTGCTACTTGCTGAGCAGACAAATAGAGAAAAATAAAAGAAAAGAGTCTTCCAGACAGATTTCAAAGTACTGTTTTGGATAGCCAGATAATACCCAAGTTAGGCAAAAAAGCCAAAACTATGCATTAGTTCAGTTAGAGAAAAGTGTTTTCTTCCACTAGGTTTTCATCTTAGTTTATCAGCCCCTAATTGAAGGGGTGCAGGAGAGAAAGCAGAGATCAAGCTTCTGTCAGTGTGGCTAAGTTTAAGTGCAGAGTCGTGAGGCGAGGTCTCAGTCATAAGCTGGTGAGGTATTGGCCTCACAGACCCTCAGCGCACTCAGAGCTCCCCTTCCACTTACTCTAGGAGGACTAGCTGCATTTCTCAGTCTAAATGCCCAGAGTCCCTGTAATGTCCCAGTTCTGTTCAGTGCATCTCCAGCACGCAGATGAGCATGCCATTCCTCCCTGCCTCCCTCTTTGATGGCACCTTCACAGTACAAACCAAAATGGGGATGCAGTTAGACCATACGAGGATGGAAAGCCCAACCCTCACATAAGTTTAACACAGTTGTGCATGTTAAAGTCTGCATAGAAAGCCCTGCAAATATTACGAGAGAAAAAGTCACCCGATTGCTAAAGCACACCCCTCCTTTTCAGGAAAGGGTTTTAATCAAGGAGTGTGTGTGTGTTTGTCCCTCAGGTTTAAGCCTTCATCAGCTACTGGGTCATTTGGAAAGCAGTATTTTTAATGCAACTTTTCTAAAAGTCTTCCAAACCTCAGATTCTGGTTCAGAGCTGTTAAAAAAAACCAGACTGCTGACAATTCATGAAGCCCCTGCAGGCTGGAGAAGTAGAAGCCCTGTTGCCGCTCTGAAATACCTTGTTGTGCAAAACACAGTACTGTTCTAACCAGAGATCCTGCCACTAGGAGCAGGACACCAGCATTCACAACAGGAAGACTGCAAGCTCAGTATACATACATGACATCCGGGCTGTTTGCTGTCGTCACCAGCACATAGAGGTCAAACACAGTTTCTAGGTAGTTTTTGAAATATGGCAAGCCTTCTGCTGTCTGGAGATTCCTAGGAGGAAAGAGACAATCTGAAGTTAAGCGCAGAGATCACGTGTCCCACCACAGGAACTGCACATATCCGCAGTGCTTGTATTCACTAGTGATCGTCTGGAGTCGCCAGATTCCCTCCTGCCCGGAAGTATCACACCCATTCTTTCCACCCAGCTCCAAGCAAAAGAAGTATTCGCACCTCTCACCAAACAGCTTCAAGGCCATGAGGGAAAACATGAGAAGGCTAAACATGAAGAGCAAGAAGACGTAGGTGATCTCTGGCAGCGTATTGCGGATACTGCGGAAGGCCCTCCGAATCTGCCAGGGAGGAGGGAAGCGTTTAGAGGCAAGGTGGTACCCATTTTCCCCTCACCATCCCATCCGGATCAAACACCTACACAGGGACAGGCAAGCAAAGAGGGACACAGGTACTCTTCTGTCACCTGGCAGGAGAGATTCTGACCCAGATGTGCCAGTTCTGTTCTGCTAAAACCTGTGCAAGAGTACCAGGCCTTTCCTCCTCATTCCTCAGAGGAGATGCTAGAAGGAGAGACCTTATCTACATACCATCATGAACTCAGCTAGCCAAGGGACAGAGGGCCCTGCGGCACTGCTGAGATGCTCTTGCTGCAGGGGACTGGTCAGGGACAGAAGCCTGTCGCTCCAGGCTACAAAACACAAGCTCTGAGCCTGAAAGTTTAACTGCTCCCTCCCCCAGGCCTCCACACCACAGTAGTTTGTTTATTTGTAAGTCAGGACCAGAATGGTCTTTGGCAGCAGGGCAAAGATCTCCCCGTGACAAGAGGAATCAGAGTCCAAATCACCCATCTGGACTACAAGGTAAGTTTCCGAGAACAGTGTGACACTTGTGCTTGTTTGCCTAGGAGACTTCCAGAAATAAGTAACCTGGCCCCTGACCCAGGGAGAAACAGTTCTCTCATCTGCGGCGCTCCTCGTGTTCACACCTCCCGAGGACCGCATCTAACTCTGCTTGCAAACAGAGGCTGCTCCTCCACACAGGCTGGACTAAGCACAGCCCATGGGCTGACCTTACAAGAATCATTCTTCCTTCTCCATGCAGTCTTACACTTTGTTAAGCATGACCTTCCCTAAATCATCACAGCACCATGTTTGGTGAGAAGCTCTAGTTCCAGCCTCAAGCGCACTCAGGGCTCCGGGCACCAGTAACCCAGCCCATAGGCACAGGGAGAAGCCTTTTGGTACTTTACGCAGAGGCCAAGCAGCACCAGTGCGAACACACCCTTTTCTCCGTCTCAAGTTCTTGCTTCAGGCCACCTCTGAGAGAAACCTTCGCTCACAGGAACCTAAATTCTGCCGTTTCTGCCCACAAACCTTTCTACTAAATCCCCTGGATCTCAGAAAGCAGCAGGCTGCCCAAAAATAGGACCCTGCGCCAGGGGTACATCCCAGCAGACCTCTTCCTTACCTGGCGACTCTCTGCAAAGTTTATCAGGAAGATGGGCCTCACAATTCTTGACCATCGAACACTCCTCACGTTGTATATCCTGAGGACCCCATATATGGCCAAGTCTGTTAGTGATAACTGCAGAAGAAAGAAGGAAAATTCCCAGAAGCAGTGTTGGAAATGTGTCTAGATGGTGAAGACGACAGGTTTAGCTGATACAAGACAGATGCAGACACGACAGGTTTGTGAGAACAGGCCGAGCTGTCGGTTGATTCGGCCATGGCTCTTGCAGAGCCCTTGTGAATCAGGCCCGCGTTACCAGGAAAGCAACAGGAGGAAAAAGCCACCTCCACATTGGCCGCTTCAACCTTGGAGGCTCCCCTAGGCCTAACTCACCAGGATTGCAACCATGATGCAGATGTTCTTGGTATCCTTCCAAAATACGTTGCGAAGGGTGACTTTTGCAAAATGTGTCAGTCGGCCAAAGAACACCAGAAGGCACAACACCTCGACCAGAGAAGTGACCTGCAGAGAGAGAGAGAGAAGGGGCCCAAGTCAGGACAACCAAGAGCAGCGCTAGCCCTCTTCACACAGGTGAGGATGTTCAGGCTGGGGTACAGGCAAAGCAAAACCAGGCAGAGCCAGCAGAAAAGTTTTTCCAGCGGGTTTTGCTGTCAGCTGTTTTACAGGCTCGCATATCTGGCACTGAGCAATAGTTTCAGGCTTCCTTTTGTGAAATTCCCTGCCACAGGCAGGTTAAAGCCAGTAAATTTGTATTTGCTTAGGATTCAAGGAGCACATCTCTCACAAACACACCAGTGCAGAACAAATAAGGGCTACAGAAAAGTCAGTCCTAAGGGCAATGCTCCACTTCTGCTTTCAGACATGAGGACTGGACTTGGGTCACGTAGAAGGCTGGAATTGTTCTCCAAGATGCAGAAAAGCAACATGACTTTGTCCGCAGTCACATCAGCCATTGCTGACAGCCACGATGGCTCCCATAGTCCCTGTCTAGCTCCTACGCCCCTTTTTTGTCCCCATTTCAGTAGATCAAAGATATCAACAGAAATATTGCGTCAATTATCTCTTGACACCTTTGACAACTAGTTTCAAGCAAGAAACCCTTGCTTGCTCTACCAAGCAACGCAATACTAGTTGCATTGCTGCTTCTACACTGAAACCTTACCAGGAAGGGGAGCGGGTACACAGCAGGTTCTTCAAACACCGCAAGGGACAGGTTGAGAAAGATGAAGAAGTAGGTGGCTGTTCGCATAATCCAGTGGTTATAGAGATAATAAAGCCTGTAGAAAGAAGGCAGTGGCACCATAAGTGAAGGCTTCAGTGCACATACCCATGGGCTCACCAAATACATCTCGAAAGAACAGCACCTGCTGTCCCAAACGGTCAAGGAGGAAGAAGGGCAGCACAGAAGTAGCACAGTTTTTGCCAGTCAGGGACTTGGCAATTTGTTTCCTGGCCCTTCCTTACAGTCTCATAGCTGAGGGACCTTATACTCCCTTTCAGGGAGCAAGAAACCCGGGAAGGTGGAACACAGGAGTTCTTCAGTTGAGTTTAAGACTGCAACATATAGATTTGGTAAAGCTGCTTCCTTTTTGTAATTACTTCGTTCCTTAATTTGAATGCAAACTTCTGCTAAGCTCAGGTATCCACGACACACGAACTAAGCCTGATTAGTTATCCAACACCTTTTCTTTGCAGGTTAAAAAGCAAAGAAGCTACCAGAGAAAAGTATGGAGTTGCACAGTAAACTGGTGGTTTTTTTGTTTTTTGTGGGTTTTTTTGTGGTTTTTTTGTTTGTTTGTTTTTTATACGGCACTTAAGCAGTATCCCATCACCTACGGCAGCAAAACCTCTGGTGAATGCTAGCAATAACCGTGAACACACCCAGCTCTAAGCCTGCCACAGGAGGTTTCACACGATGGCATGCAACAGTGGCTCCTTTGAGGAGACGCGGAGCAGATATGCAGAGTGTATAGTTTCTCTGCCAATAAAAAAAAAGCTGCCAACATTGCCAAACAGTCATCTCATCTGCCTAATAACCACCTGCATAAAGGCTACAGGGCAGGTGATTATACAGATGACGTGATATTATACCCTTAGTAACACCATCAAGACACAGCCACATAAAACCTGCTCATTTCTGCTAGTTACACTGAGCACGCTTGGGCAGGACAAAACTATACGCACACAGGCTGTTTCTCCAAAGCAGACAGACATTACAGCTACACAACAGCATACACCTGCTCAAAGCCTTTGTAACAAACATACTTAACCATACTTGTTTCTCCCAGATGCCCAAGAAACTTCCTTCGCTAAGACATGAGAACTAAGTAGAAGGGAAGGGTTTTGTGGGGAGGGCTACAGGAGTCATTAGTGCTCACACGCTGCTTTGCTGGCAGTCTGTTGTATCGCCTTTCCCTTCTACACTAGCCAGATTCTCTTAAGTTTTACACACAGAAACAGTCAGCCTAAAGCAGTCTGAGCCTGAGGGAAAAGTTACCTCTCTGACTGAAGCTGCTTAACTTCTTACCAGCAGCTAAAAGGGAAGAGAGTCACAGCTGCAGGCAAAACATTCTTGACTTGGGGAATTGCACTTAACTTATCGCCAATTAACATAAGCTTTTAATTACTCCCGCCCCTAGCAGCTACCGCCCTTTCTGAAGTACACCTGAGCAGAGGTGCCATACACTCCTACACAAAGCTGAAGCTTTGGTGCGCAGCAGGCTGGTGTCACCGGCTGCCACGCCAGCTAGTGATGGCCGTGACCACCTGGCACAGGGCTGTTCTCCCACACAGGCCAACCGTGCAGCCCCCTGCTACCAAAACCCTGCCGCTTACACCCAGCACGGCCACGCTCCAGCACCCCCTTCCGCGCAGGCGAGGGACGACCAAGCTTCCCATGCTCTTCATCCCCACAGTATGCTACAACTTCCATCTTGAAAGATTTTAAATTTTTTTTTCTCCAGCAAAACCCAAGTTTTAATTTCCTTTCCCGTCCTCAACATACAGACGCACCAAGCCCCATTCAACATACGCATTTCAGTGTAAATCCAGTTCTTTGCATCCCACCCACCCAGCCTTCTCAGCGCCCAGCTGGTGAACCTGAAGTCCCCTGCCTCTGCTGGCTGTTGTTCTTTGGACACAGTTGCGGTTGGTTCTCCCCACCCTAGCTTGAGTGCCCCCCAGCACCGCACGCTGCCTGCGAGACCAGCACAGAGCCCTGCTCCAGTGCAATGGCGCAGGCATTCGTGGGGACGCGGACCTCCTTACCTGACTGCCTCCGGGGAGGTCTTAAAGGGAGTATTTCTGTTGTACTGCGCATCGGAGACAAACGCTGCTGCCAGCAGGAGATCCTGTAGAAAGGGGGAAAACACAGACAGCTGGTCGGTAGATGTTGGAGCTTGAAATAAAATTTAAGGCAAATACTCAAAAGGAGGTCCCTTTCACCCCTGGGCATTCTAGAGAGGCGAGAAGCGGTACAAGGGATGCCACAGCTTCGCATGCCCACGTCCCTCTCCTGCTAGCGAGGACCCACCACCGTCCCACCCCCGGGTCGGGCCGGGAGCACCCCGTCCATCCTCCCCGGCGGGACCCTCATCCATCCATCCATCCATCCTCCCCGGGGGGACGGGACCGGACCGGACCGGACCGGACCGCTCGGCTACCTGCGAGGCCGCCTCCGCCATGGCGCTGGCAGACACTGCACCTCCCCGTGCCCGCCGCCTGGGAGAGCGTCTGTGGAATACCGGGGCCTGTCTTCTGTCCCTTCAGAAAACGAGATCCCGAACTGCGCCTGACTGACCTGACAAAATACTGAGGGTACAGGAACGCCGCCGCCGCCGGCGGACGCGTTTCCGTATTTCAAAAGGGTTGTCTGTATTTGTCTTGCTTTAAGTCTGCCACTGATGCTGGCTGCTCTGCCCTCGCCGAGGAGCGCTGCCGACACATTAAACTAGCGAAAATTGTGACACGATGTCCCTAGACGTGTTTATTTCTCTGGTAAGTGAAAACATACCTTACGGGCGCCTGTAACGAGCGACAAATCTCATCGTGAACGTACGCATGTGAAAAAAAAAAACCCGTGGGGACAATTAAGTGGCGAACCAGCTGCATGCGTTGGTCGGATGAACGAGCAAATTAAATGAAGGATGTTTGTGCTTCGGACTCCGCATTTCTTCTTGCGCTTTGGAGGAGGAATTGTGGAGGTAGCTGTAGGGGGTGCCTCCTTCCCCTCCCATCGCTAGCAGATTCCAGAAGAGTATTTCCTCAAACCTGAGAGAAGGGGGTGCTCCTGATTTACTGCACGCGGTGCAGGCTGCTGGTTTTCAACCGTATTACTGAACCGTGAAAGTTTTAGAAGTCTGGGGGGAAAACAAACAAATGCTGCCCAGCGCCCCTTACGATCACGAGATGCCGGGTAAGTAGTCCTGGGGCTTTTTGGTAGAAACAAGGTTTCGGAGCTTTGGCGGTTCCTTCAACGCCAAGGCCGGGATGCGCGGCACCGCCCGGGAGCCCGCGCCCGCGTTCAGCAGCGCTGCCGTTCACGGGGAGCGCGTGGGCCAAACCCCATCTTGGGGTGTGGGGGGGTGTGTGTGTTGGGCAGGTCCGAGTTGCGCCTGCCTTCCCAGCGAAGCGTTGTGCCTTCCCACGGCGCGCGCCTGTCGCTGGTGCTAACCTCGAGACTTGGCGGGCCGTCAGAAACGGGGCTTTCCGTTAGGCTGCCGGGTCGGGGCCTCGTCTGGGTGCGGGTGCCGTTTTGTCGGGGCGAGGGGGGCGATTACCGGCAAGCGCGAAGCGCGCACTCCTGCACGTTTTTCAGCGCGAGCTAGACGTACCGCAGCCTCACGGGCTGCCCTGGGGAGGGCAGAGGACCGGATTCACCTGCGGGGCGGCTTGCAGGCCGGCTGGCTGGCTGTCGGTCCCCGGGCCCGGCCTGGGTGGG